CCCCCGTGATGATCTGGGCCTTGTTCCTCTGGTTTTGCAGCATTTTTTTTTTTTTTTGCAACATTGGTTCTGAAGCCGCAGGGGGAATTTTCTCATGTGGAAATCTTTATGGAGGATACAGTCATTGACAAACATAGGGGTGGATGTGGGAGTATTCAGTCTCTGGGGAGGCTGTATGTGTGTATGTGAAGGTTGTAAAGGAGTCAGTCCAGATGTTTGTCTTTCAAATAATTTGCCTGCTAGCCAAATATAGGCTCAGAAGCCCTCTGAGCCTTGGAGGTTGGCAGGGGGGCGGAATGGTGGCAAAGGAAGGAGAAGTCTTAAATTCCAAAGAGAGATGGCAGCAACCCAAACTCTTCTTTGGGGCCGAAAATTGAGACGGCCCCGGGCCCCTCTTCCGATCCAGAGGTCTCCATGTCTGAGTTTTCCCTTGGATCTCTGGCTAGGTCAGTGGTTCTCAACCTTTTTAATGCTGTGACCCCCAACCGGTTGTAAGTCGAGGACTAAACCGGTCGTAAATCGAGGACTAAACCGGTCATAAGTCGAGGACTACCCAACCGGTCGTAAGTCGAGGGCTTTCCCTGCCCGGGAGTGCTGCGCATGCGTGGTTCCGCCCCCTGCGCCGGCCGAGGCGTAGCTGGCAAGCGGCAGAGACGGAGCAGGCCGACCACCAGCTGGCCCAGCCCAAGGGAGGTAAGGCACCCGCCGGAAAAGGGGAAAAAAATGGTGGACAAAAAAATGGCGGACAGCCTTGCTTGGCGACCCCCGTGAAATGGCCGATCGACCCCAAATGGGGTCGCGACCCATAGGTTGAGAACCGCTGGGCTAGGTTAAAGGCACGTAGACAAGGCGTCCGTGCCTGGGGGCCAAGATGACCTGCTCCCCGTATATTGAGGTCTGGTCAATGCAGCTTTCATCTCTTTTTTTTTTTTTTTTTTAAAGCAAGTTTTATTAATTTTCCAATTTTACAAAGCTCCAAGTGTTAAGGAAGGAACATGGTGATTGGGTAGTCTATAATCAAATAACAAGCTCTTTCATGCATATGTCAGGTTACATCATCAAGCATTTCCTCTCTATTTCCCTTAGTTATTGCATCACATTCAAATTAATACACTGCTAGTTATAACTCAAGTCAGTTAAGACATTTATCGATACATTTTGTCTTCTACGCCTTCATATCCTGTTTTGAATTTTACCTAATTTCAGTTACAGTATTCCAGCTTTCATCTTGATATGCCAGCCAAGCCATATCAAGGCAAGGAAAGGGCATTTTCCATCGGAAACTGGAACGATTCCTCCCCAGATAGAATCCAAATGTGCGTGGAGGAGGAACTGGAGAGAGGCCAGTGACTTGTAGGACTCAGAGCAGCCCAGGCCTTTGCAGGTTCCCCCTCCGAGCTGGACCCAGGGCTTGGCACTTGGCACTTTCCTGGCCCTCCCTCCTTGGTTTCCTGGAGGAATGAGAACCCCGCCCTGTTGTGTCCCGTGCCTGCAGAAGCAGGCGCGGAAAGTTGCAAGAGTCCTGGGCATTTGCAAAAGCTGCCCAGGACCAGACTGAGTGGTGCCGGCCTTGCGCACATGCGCAAGGCGGGAAAGGACTGCCTTGTGATTGGTTGGAATTGCCCGGGGATCGGAGGGTTTATATAGAGGCTTGCGCGCCTCTGGGCTTGTCGTTGTTCGTAGATTGGAAGCAGAGAATAAAGACTTGTTAGAAATGCTTCGTCTCAAGCGCCATTATTCTCCGGACTTAACACACCCAAGGTGGCCCTCCCTGCCCTGGCAACTGCCAGAGGAAGTGCCCACAAAGCTTGCCTCGTGGCTTAAGGGCTGCCTGGGTGCTGTCCTGGGGCTGGAGAGCAAGGGAGGGCTGCTTCCCAGGCCTGGATCTCATCCAGGGCGGGAGACGTACTTGGCTGGGTCTGCTGCTGGGAGGGGGGAGACGGGCTTCTTCCCCAAAAGCATCCTGGGTGGTGCCACTGGGCAGCCTTGCCCTCCTCTTGCCCCTATCAGCTGGGGGGGGGGGCAGAGAAGCTGGAAGGGAGGAGAGAGGGCTTCTTTCTCTCCAGCCATGGCAGCCCCCCCCCCTTGAGATTGCTCTGCCCCAGCTCTGAGAGCAAAATTAGAGGAGGGGAGGAATCACACTGTCACACTGGCAACAGGCCACTATTAAGTCAAAGCCCAAACCAGGACAAAACTGGATCCTGATGGCCTCTGCCATTCCATCGCTTGGCCTCAGCTTTTGCCCCTTCGAAGGACTGGCCTCTCTTTCACCTCTGGAACTTACTCAGACCCATGCCGAGTGAGGAGCATGAGCTTTGTGGTCCCACAGCTGGAGGACCTCCTCCCAGCCTAACTCCAACGCAACTCTGCCAGCCTCGTCTTGGCAGTGCCAGGAGAGGAGTGGGGAGGGGTTGGTGGTTTTCCAAGTGTGGCACTCTTTGCTCCCCTCTGAGGGACGGAGGAAAACACCTGGCTGGGCATGGGGGCTTAATGAGCTGCAGGTGGATTTTTGTTTGGCTGCTGAAGGGATCTTTGGTGTTTTAGCAGCAAGCCTATTGAGGTATTGAAATATAAAGTAGTTTTGCTTGCTCCTCTCAGTTGTGTGCATTATCCAAAGACCTAGTAGTAGCATGCATAACACTAAACCCAGGTTAATCTAATATAATATGTCTGCATATCCAGAGAAACCATATTATGACTTCAGGTGGTAGTTTTCACAACAAACTGAGCCAAGCCCTTAGCTGGGTTTTAGTCGGTGGGTCTTTATCAATATCCGGAGGTGTTGGTGAAGGAGCTTGACTCTTTAAAGCAGTGGTTCTCAACCTTTTTAATGCCGCGACCCCCAACCGGTCGTAAGTCGAGGACTAAACCGGTCGTAAGTCGAGGACTAAACCGGTCGTAAGTCAAGGACTACCCAACCGGTCGTAAGTCGAGGACTTTCCCTGCCCGGGAGCGCCGCGCATGCGTGGTTCCGCCCCCTGCGCCGGCCGAGGCGTAGCTGGCAAGCGGCAGAGACGGAGCAGGCCGACCACCAGCTGGCCCAGCCCAAGGGAGGTAAGGCACCCGCCGGAAAAGGGGAAAAAAATGGCGGACAAAAAAAATGGCGGACAAAAAAAATGGCGGACAGCCTTGTTTGGCGACCCCCATGAAATGGTCGATCGACCCCAAATGGGGTCCCGACCCACAGGTTGAGAACCACTGGTTTAAAGCTTGCATAGGCCCCTCTAGGGGTGGGATGGGGTGCCACTGCCAACTCGCCATGGGACAACTCACTGCGGGACAAGAATTGCACTAATCTCAAAGAAATAGTGGAGTAGAATCATTAAAGAAAGGAGGTACAAAATGAAATGTGAATGACGAAAAATAAAACATTTTAAAAAATGATTTTAAATAATGAAATCGAATAATGGATTGTCCCACAGTGAGTTGACCCTTGGGTGAATTGGCCGTGAGAAGTTGGCCGCGGTGGGTTGTCCCGTGACGAGTTGGCTGCGGCACCCATCCCATCTGGCCGTTGGCTGTTGGCGAGTGGTCCCATTCCGCCCTGCAGGGGCGGCTTGGGCTCTGTTTCGCTTGAGAGCGTCTCTTGGGGACCAGACCTTAAGGGCCTTGCTCACCTGCCAGGGCTGTGATTGATGGGTGTCCTGAACATCCCCACCCCAGCCACGAAGAAACAGAAAGGGACCCTGTGCTCAGCTGTTCTGCATAGGGGGAAGGGCTGGGGTGGGCGTCTGCACCCCTTGTGCAAAATCAACAATAACGCCTTCAGGGGTAGGATGGATGAAGGCATGAGGAGCTGATCTTGCTATCAGGTTGTAATGACAAAAAAACAACAACCCCACCTACCATCTGGGAGTTCAGCTACGTTCAGCAGCCATCTTACAAACTACAATGTCACCCATGTGAGCCGATACAGAAGCTCTCTGTGCTTCCTGTTTGATATTGAGAACAGCCCAAGGCTCAAGATTGTCCCCCATCTCTGTGCCAGCAGCTAGCTCCTCTTATCTCCCTTTGCTAGCCTTGAGGGACACATCCAGCCAGCGGCCAGCTCAACATGCAGGCAGTGCTCCTGGAGGTTGGAGAGTGTTGGTGTCCAGGAGAAGAAAGGACATAAAATAATAGACTTGGAAGGGATCTCAGAGATCTTCTAGGCCAACCTTCTGCTTGAGTAGGAGACCCTATATCATTTCAGACAAATGGTTGTTCAGTCTCTTCTTAAAAGCCTCCAGTGATGGAGCACCCACGACTTCTGAAAGCAAGTTGTTCCATTGGTTGATTGCTCTCACCATTAGGAAATTTCTTCTTAGTTCTAGGTCAGTGATGGCGAACCTTTTAGAGACCGAGGGCCCAAACTGCAACCCAAAATCCACTTATGCATCATCGAGTGCCGGGTGGATGTGGCCCATTGGGTGGGTGTGGCCCATTGGGTGGGCGTGGCTGCGGCGGTAACGGCAGACTGGGTGGGACTAAAAAGTTCAATCAATTCCAACTTGGCAAGATCTTTTTTTCCCCCATGAGAAGTTGAAATTGACTGATTGATTGAACCTTTTTTTATTTGCACATGGCGGCGGAGGCCTAAAGCAAAAAGATTTTATAAAACCAAGCTGAAGGCCTAGGACTGGGGCAACAGTGCGCGTGCCCACAGAGAAGGCTCTGAGTGCCGCCTCTGGCACCCGTGCCATAGGTTCGCCACCACTTGCTTCTCTCCTTGATTAGTCTCCATCCATTGCTTCTTGTCTTGCCTTTGGGTGCTTTGGAAAATGGTTTGAACCCCTCGTCTTTGTAGGAGCTCCTCAAATATTGGAACACTACTATCATCTCCCCCCTAGTCCTTTTCATTAGACTAGTTCCTGTAACCGTTCCTTGTATATTCTTCTCAGACTTCTGAGTTTCTCTGAGAGCTGCTTTGGGTTATGCATCCAGTGAGAGCAGCAGCCAAGCAGGCTGGTCCCAAGCCCCGTGCCCCTTCCCTAACCCGGGTCTCCTTTCATTGTTTCCAGGATCTTCATCCCCAGGAAACACCGGCAGCGCTTTGATGAGGTGGTGTCCCAGAGTCTCATCAGCAAGCTGTGCCGAGCCAAGAGAGAGCAGCCGACCAACCGTCTGAGACGCAGCCGTAGCGAGGACCACCATGAACGCCTGCTGGTCTCCACCCGGGCCAGCTCAGTGCCCCGGTGCCAGGAAGAGAATTGCCAGAGCTTGAGGAAGTCCACCGCTCTGATTGGCAACAATGTGGGGACGGGGGCAGCTTGCAGGTAAGGATCTGCGAAGACCCCCCTCCCCAAGATGCAGATTCTAGAGTGGAGCCTGTCTCTCCCCAAAGGCCCTAAAGCAGTGATGGCGAACCTTTTAGAGACCGAGTGCCCAAACTGCAACCCAAAACCCACTTATGCATCGTCGGGTGCCGGGTGGGTGTGGCCCATTAGGTGGGTGTGGCCAATTGGGTGGGTGTGGCCCATTGGGTGGGCGTGGCTGCGGTGGTAACAGCAAACTGGGTGGGACTAAAAAGTTCAATCAATCAATTCCAACTTTGCACGATCTTTTTTTTTCCCACAAGAAGTTGAAATTGTCTGATTGAACCTTTTTTTTTTTGCACACGGCGGCGGAGGCCTAAAGCGAAAAGGTTTTATAAAACCCAGCTGAAGGCCTAGGACTGGGGCGATGGCACATGTGCCCACAGAGAGGGCTCTGAATGCCGCCTCTGGCACCCGTGTCACAGGTTCGCCACCACTGCCCTAAAGAGTCTGTGCCATCATGTAGAGAGCTTATTTTTAGGCCATTTTGGAAAGGAGAGGAGAAGAAAGTTTATTGGACATATTTATGTACAGTCGGTGGAGACCTCATATATACCTGGGATATTGTGAGAAGGGGCAGACTAGGAAACCTGAACCTGTAGAGTTGAACGTGACATGGAAACCTGCAGGACAAAATCCTACTGCATGTGAAAGGGATTGTTGGGTTTGTTTGTTTTTTAAATGGCTGCTAAAGAAGAGATCAGCGTAACATGCCAGTCAAAGGCAAAATTCCAAAGATTCTCAGTTTGAAAGGATTTTTATATGTAAAGCGGTGTATCTCAATCTTGGCCACTTTAAGACGGATGGACTTCAACTCCCAGAATTCTCCAACCAGCCAGAATTCTGGGAGGTGAAGTCCATCCGTCTTAAAGTGGCCAAGGTTGAGAAACACCCGTGTCAAGAGAGGCAGGGAAGGGGCTCAAAGATCCCTCCTCTGCAGACAGCTTAGCGGGGAAAGCTCTGCGTTGCTCCTTTTGGATTCCCCGTTTGGTGTAAGGACTACAATGTGCTCTCCTTCCCCAGAACTGTCCGTGTCTACAAGGGCAGTAGAAGCTTCGGGTTTACGTTACGTGGCCATGCTCCTGTGTGGATCGAGTCCATCTTGCCTGGTAAGAGTAACCCTCGTTTCTTGGCAAAGACTTCCATTTGCAGGGCAAGCCTCGTTTGGAGTCAGATATTTTAGAAATGCCTTTGGGTTCTTTAGGATTGGTGCATTCTTCACCAAATTGACTACTTGGCCAAGGGCCTTGTTCAGAAGCAGGCAGCTGTGTTTTAGGGTTGCGCTTGTCCTTTGAACAAAATCCAGGTGTCACTCCAGCAAGTGAAAAAACAGATTCGTTTACATGGCGATGGGCACCATCTTGACTTTTTGAACCTCTCCCCCTCACCTACCAACCTCTGCAAAGGAAATGCAGCCCAGGGCAGGAGAATGGGTAAAACCAGAACAAAAATAAAATGTGATTTAATTCAATTTGAATTTTATCCAAGTGAAATCTTGTTAGTTTTAATTAAGTTTAAGTCATTCTATCATGATCTCCTAGGAATTTTACCCTTTTCTTGCTCTACACCAGGGGTAGGCAACCTTGGCTCTTTTATGACTCGTGGACTTCCAGAATTCCTGAGCCAGCTATGCTGTGCTGGCTCAGGAATTCTGGGAGTTGAAGTCCACGAGTCATAAAAGAGCCAAGGTTGCCTACCCCTGCTCTACACAAATAAATCTACACTACCTACTGTGATCACTTTTGGTAGCTGCAGGTGGCTTCAGGTTGTGGATATTTGCACTAGGTGGGAACACGGAGTAAGAATTCCTCCCTGGCGAGACCATTTCATCCCTCTGGACTCAGGCCACCCATGTCTCTGGATGAGGCCTGGGGTCATGAAATCTATGAGCGAAATTGGTGGACTCATCCAGATGTTCCAACATCCTAGGTGTGAGAGTGTGTCGCCATTTTGGGGCTGTTTCCCAACCTGAGCGGGGCATAAATACTGGAGAAATCTCTTCCTCTGGGACTGTGAATAGTCTGTCCTCACAACATGTTACCCTGTGTGTAGCTCGACATGCAGCTAAACCCTCCTATCCTTTAATAAACCAGACCATCTACATAGATCTTGATGCTTTATTTAAAAACAGGATGAGGTGAAACATCGATGCTATGTATGGAATATAGATTTTGTCTTCAGAAGAACATGTGTCACAGACCAAGCTGGATTCTTCTAGATGTTTCTATTACGTTACAAAATGGAGTCTGGCTTATCGGGATACACCTTCTTTGCAGAATGAGGGATAATGGGATAATGGGAAGTATGGATGTCCTGTAGGGTCAAACACCATCAAGCCAATTTCCAAATAATGAAAGATGGAGCTCAATATAAAGTCTGGTTTGATAGCTAGTGAGGGTGCTCCTTCCAGGATCTTGTGATTTTATGCAAAAATGATGGTGCTGGAATTGCTGGAACTGCCTTGGGCATGGAGGGATCAGCCAAAAGGAGAGATGTGCCTTTGTGACCCCAGCAGATTCTGCAAATAGAGCAGCGTTAGAGTCCTCCAAGAGTGGTGGGTGGTTGTTGTTGTTGTTTTGTCTTTGCAGGGAGTCCAGCTGAAAAAGCATCCCTGAAAGCTGGCGACAGAATCCTGTTCCTGAATGGCCTGGATATGAGGTGAATTAGCAGTTTCTTTGTTTTTCCCCACGATTATCTCTGGGGTTTGATGTCCTTCTAACCCAGAGGTAGGCAACCTTGGCTCTTTTATGACTCGTGGACTTCAACTCCCAGAATTCCTGAGCCAGGCATGCTGAGGGGAAAGGGAGAGGTTTCCAAGCTGAGCCAAGCTGGCTCAGGAATTCTGGGAGTTGAAGTCCACGAGTCATAAAAGAGCCAAGATTGCCTACCCCTGTTCTAACCCTTAGCTGGCTTGGACACAACTTTTCAACTCTCGCCAATGGCTGTCCTATCTGCGGAGCCCTCCTGGTGCTGCTTCTGTCCCGGATTGATCCTGTGTTCTGTTCTGCAGGAACTGTTCCCATGAGAAGGTGGTCTCCATGCTCCAAGGCAGCGGGGCAATGCCCACCCTCGTGGTTGAAGAAGGCATTGTTAGCTTTTCCAGTGGTAAGCAAAGATTTGGTCATAATCTTGGAAGGTTAGTTTGCTGTCTTCCTCTTTCTCCATGCTCTCTTTCCCCAGATGTTTCCACCCCCCTTCCTTAAGCTTTAAAGCTAATAGCTCCGGAAACTAGGTCCTCGGAGAGTTTAAAGCCCATGCTCAGGGTATTCCAGACCTTTGAAAACACCAGGAAGTTGCATGATAGTTCAACCATCTTCTTCAGTTGGTGGTTGAGGCCGCACAGCAAGAGATTCCTGCTGAATTTCTGTTCCCACTTCAGAGTTACAAAATCGGAATGTCTTTATAGGTTCTGTTTTCAAACATGCCAATTATTGTTATAATGATTCTTATAAATGAAGCAGCCTACATGTCACTAGGTGCAATTTTCTTTATATATATAAGCCCTGATGATGTTGGGTGGGCCCAATGAAAGCTCGGCTCATTAAATTTTTTACCATTTATTACTTTCCTCTTGGTGATCGATATTTATTGGTTTTATCATATATATTCTTCATAACAATCAGGAAAGATTGTTTGAGCCTGTGGGAAAAATAAAAGGGCTGTTCCACTGGATGAACAAGGAATGGAGATCATAATAGTGTTCGAACAATAATTTGTTCACATGTTTATTCTGATTTAAAATCAGATCATCCCAATAGGCTCCAAAGAGCTCGGAATCAGCTTTGTCTTCTGTTTCATAAGAGAGATTTTCTTTCTGTGTCCAGATGGTGAATCTTCTGAAGCACCCAGCTCCTCCTCAGCCCTCACCTCCTTGCAGTGGGTCGCTGAGATCCTGCCCTCCAGCATCAAGATCCAGGGAAGGACCTTCCACCAGCAGCTGGAACATCTCCTCATACCAGCAGAGCGCTACACAGTATGCAAAGCCCTGGAGAGCTTCTTCCAGCACAGGTGACTCCATCCGTTTGTCCAAGTGGAAAATTCGCAAGGTTCTGCTCCCTTCTGCTCCTTCTTGCTTGGGCTCTGCGTTTGGACTGAGCACCACCCAGTTTTGGGGATGAACTGGGGGGCTTGCACTTAAGGGCAGGAGCCCAGAGCTGATGACGAGGCTCCTGTCATTCTTCCCCGAATCTTTACCAGTACCTCTCAAACTTCGAGGCAGTGGATGGGGTTCGGGACCCCAGATTGTTTTAAAATGAGGGCGGATCTAAGCATGATGTCATGTGTCTGATTAACGAAACGCTTAAAAGGACTTTCAGGCATATTTTTTCCTAAAAGCATTTATTAAGGTTACAGAGACGTCAGTACAGCATGGTGGAAATGCTTAGGTCTGGCTTCTCTTCCGTTAAGCATATACATCCTAAGCATTTTCCACTCCCTTATTTTGGGGTCATGGTTCACATCTTCCAATCAACTTGGAAGATGTGATTTACTTCAGGTTTCTTTCTCCTGGGCTATCCTTATGCTCCTCCCTCTTTCCCAGTTGCTGGTTTAACTATATAAATACCAGACAGTTCTGCATATTGTCAAAGCAAGAATATATAGTATTTGCAGCGTTGACAGCTCCATTCACAGCAGAATGCCTGAGTCTGCTTCAGCAAAGCTTTTCTCTGGCATGGAGGTAAAGTGAAAAACTTGCCTAGGCCTTTAGCTTCAAAGATTGAGGCAACATCCAGGGTGTAACGTTGTGTGGGAATGGCCTTGGGAGACAGGAAGAAGAGCCGCAGTTGAAAACTGTCCTGCAAAACAGTTTTGCAGGAGACGTTCTGGAAGCTGCCTTTACACATCTTGCCAGATTTAGGTCTTTGAGGTGGTCCAGACAAGAAGGACTAGCCCTATTTTTGTTGTAACATTACAGCAGGGGTGGGCAACCTTGGCTCTTTTATGACTGGTGGACTTCAACTCCCAGAATTCCTGAGCCAGCCACGCTGAGGGGAAAGGGAGAGGTTTCCAAGCTGAGCCATGCTGGCTCAGGAATTCTGGGAGTTGAAGTCCATGAGTCATAAGGTTGCCTACCCCTGCGGTTACAGTAAGGGAACATATTTTTCCTCTCTGGAAAACTAGGGAGGATCCCTTCTAAATTGCTTCCCATGCCCTTTTTCCTTCTGTGGGCTGAGCTACATTTTGCATGATGGTTGTCTAGCCTGCCGCTCTTCCTCCTGTCCCTCAAGGTCGTTTCCCCCTACTATTACACAGACATACTTTTCATCAGTTGATATGTCCACAGAGACCATATTATCTCTGCGCTGTAAGGCATTAGGCTGAGTGCCAGTTCATTTCTGGGCAAAATATGGAACGCTTTTAAAACCTTTACTTTTAAAAACCCCTGCAGTTTAGACTCAAGAGAGAGAACACCTCTTTCAGTATGAACGTCTGTTCTCCCAGAAATTGAACATAGAACATAGAATAACAGAGTTGGCAGGGCCCTTGAAGGTTATCTAGTCCAATTCCCTGCATGAGCAGGAGTCTATACCAGTGATGGTGAACCTTTTAGACACCGAGTGCTCAAAAACCGCCCTGCCCGCCCTCAGGGCCACCTACCGCCTCCACGGCCCGCCGCAGATCACTCAGGCGGCCCTGCAGCACCATGGCGGCCAAGCCCTCTGCCCACGCCCTGCAGCATCATCTGCGCGCAATGGGGCACGAGGGCGGCGTCTTGTCCCTGCTGCCTGTCTGCCATGTCCTTGGCTGTGCTGCTCCGCGTGGGCCATGCCCGGAGGCTACTCTCCTCCGGGGGGGCTGCTGGTGAGGAGGGGGCCGTGAGGGAAGGTGGGGCTGGGGTGACAGCATGCGTGCCCACGGAGAGGGCTCTGAGTGCCGCCTCTGGCACGCGTGCCATAGGTTCGCCACCAGTGGTCTCTACCATTATCTGAGAAAGTTTGCCTTCTTTGTTGCCACTAAGGGAACAAGTTTTGATTTCAACTATTTATTTTTAACTGTGCATTTTTCTTAATAATTATGCTACTGTCGTATGGCTATTTGCTGTTTAAGCTGTTACGTTATGTTTTTAAGGCCTCACGTTTGCGTTGTAAAGTAAATTTGCTTTCCTATAAACCATTGCGAAGATTTGTAGTGCAATGAGTTAACTAAATAATAAACAAGTAAGCAAACCATAAAACACGGGTGGAACCCATAATCCAGCCATCGGTCAACCTTTCCCGCCAGCTCTTCCCCATCCCCTGTCTGAAAAACATGATTGACAGATATTGACCGGCAGATCACATTTGTTCAGTGGGGAGGAAAAGAAAGACAGGGGAGCCCCCAGCCTTTATTGCAGGCTGTCTCTGATACCCAGAATTCTTCCAGATATTTTGTTTATTTAGGCATTTTTATTTATTTATTAAATCTTTATGCCACCCATCTACTCTGTAAGGTGACTCTTACATTTCATTTTTGAACGCATCTTAGTTTTCAGAGATCCATCTGCAGTATTAGAGAGGGGGGTGATTCCAAACTTGTCATTGCACCCCCCCCTAAAAAAAAATCTTTAAATTGGCTCTGATAATCTCAAGTGTCAGGAAGGCAGATTCCTGCTGAACAGTAGGAAAAGTTTCCCAAACCGAAGTGCAATTCAAGAGTGGGTCCAGTGACCGGAGAAGGAGCCTCTCCTCTCCATTCAGTGTGTCCGAGCCGAGCATTGGATGTCTGGGGGCTTCCATTCGTGTCCATGGACTGAGACTGTCCTCAGGCCCCTTCCAGCTCTTCTCTAATCCTGGGATTTGGATTTTCTTCCCTGCTTTCTCTCTGCCCTAAAGAAGTCTTTGCTTCCTTCCTTGTCCACTCAGGAACATCGACACCCTGATTGTGGACGTCTACCCTGTGCTGGACACGCCCTCCAAGCAGGTGATCTGGCAGTTCATCTACCAGTTGCTAACCTACGAGGAGCAGGCCCATTGCCAGCAGAAGATCGCCAGGTTCCTTGGCTACAAGTCCTTGGCAAGTGGGACATCCGATGCTGGTGAGTCTCACCCACTGGTGCCAGTTCTGGACTGCCCAGCGGCTGTTTGTGCCCTCATAGCGCCTGAACTGTGGGTTGCAATGCATGTTTGTGTGTGCAGATTTTTAATTTGTGAAAAAGATGTATATGCCTGTCCATATTCTCCAAACTAACAACAAAATATTACACAGTTAAAAAAGGTAAGTGGGCACAAATGGTTTTTGGAAAGGAGGGTAAGGGAAGCTCTCCAAGGAATGGTTCAGGAATCCTTAGCAGTTTGCTAAGAAGAGGAAGCTCGCACAAAGGTTCTGGGTGGTAGGAAGAGAGGCAAGAAGGATGGCCTGGAGTTTTTTTTCCCCCCCAGGAAACCAGGTGCCTTAATTTCCAAAAGTAAAAGACAAAAATACTTTCAAATAGGAATAGGAATATTCTTTATTGGCCAAGTGTGATTGGACACACAAGGAATTTGTCTCCAGTGCATAAGCTCTCAGCGTGCATGCAAACAACAACATGATAAGTCATAGATCATAAATGGTAAGATACAATTCATAATTCATAAGATACAAACAAGAAGTTATAAAACATAAGATACCAATAGAAGAAGTTAGTAGGAAAGATGAGAAGATGAGAAATAGTAATAGCACTAAGGCTTATGTACCACTTCATAGTGCTTTACAGCCCTCTCTAAGCGGTTTACAAAATCAGCATGTCGCCCCCAACAATCTGGATCCTCATTTTACCGACCTCAGAAGGATAGAAGGCTGAGTCAACCTGGAGCCAGTGAGGATCAAACTGCTGACAGTTGGCAGAATTAGCCTACAATACTGAGAAGATGAGAAGCATAATAGCAATAGAGCCCTACTACATGGGTAAATATCCTTAGAGATAAGATAGTGCTGTGGGAATTAGGTGTTCAGCAGTGATGACATGGGGGGGGGGGGGAACTGTCTTTTTGTCTAGTTGTTTTGACACACAATGCCCTATAGTGGCATCCCAAAGGGAGAAGTCGACATAGTTTATGTCCATGATGGGAGGGGCCTGTAGATATTTTCTCAGCTGTTCTTCTGACCTGTACAATATACAGGTCTTCTATGGAAGACAGGCTGGTTGCAATTATTCCTTCTACAGTCTTAACTATCTGTTGAAGTCTGTACCTGTCCTGCTTAGTTGCTGTGCCAAACCCGACAGTTATAGAAGTACAAATGACAGACTCAAAAATTCCTCTGTAGCAACCAAGCCACCACTTCATATAGATTCTCGCAAGATTTATCATGCCCTTCTCAAAGTTTAGTCAAAGAATGATCAAAGCAGTAATGAAGCAATGATAAAATGATTGTTTTTTTCCTTTATTTAATAAAAGAGAATACAGAAAATAAACCACCTCATGATAACATTTACACTGTAGGGCTGACAGCAAAGGGCCATACTTCCAGCGTCATAGCAGATAGGAATTGTAGTTCTATCTTATGTGGAGAGCAGGAGGTCGAAGAAGTACCAATAGAAGACAATCTCTCCAGCTGGGGGCTGAACTGTGGAGTTCTTGGCGCTCTCTGAACTGAGTTGTTTGCTTGCAGACATTTTGTTACCTGGGTAGGTAACATCTTCAGTGCCTCACTCTTCTGGCACTGAAGTTGTTACTTAGCAGGATAATGAAATGTCTGCAAGCCAGCAACCAAGCTCAGAGAGCACCAAGACTGCCCAGCTGAGGAAGTCTGGACTGGGGGATCCTTTTGCATTTCATCTCATGAGGAGAGGAAGGCATAATATTAGCCCACCTACGACCAGCCTCCTGATGCAGCCCTGGACATCACCCCTGTCCTGCCCCAGATTGGGTGCTCAGAGGCTGGAGAAGAGCTGGCCCATTGGTGGTACTGAAAAGATGCTGACCAGGACTGGAAAGACATTGTTGGGATAATAAGAACAGAATAGAATAGAAAATATGGAATGGAATGGAATATAGAATGGAATGGAATGGAATGGAATGGAATGGAATGGAATGGAATGGAATGGAATGGAATGGAATGGAATGGAATAGAATAGAATAGAATAGAATAGAAAATATGGAATGGAATAGAAAGAAATAGAATAGAATAGAATAGAATAGAATAGAATAGAATAGAATAGAATAGAATAGAATAGAATAGAATAGAATTCTTTATTGGCCAAGTGTGATTAGACACACACAAGGAATTTGTTTCTGGTGCAGAAGCTCTCAGGGTACATACAAGCAACAAGTGATAAATCATGATCATAATGCTCTCATCATAAATGCAACACTCAGTGGCAGTCACAGGATACTAAATAAAAACAATCAACATAAATCACAAGATACAAACAACAAAGTGATAGTCATAAGATGCTAGAGGAATAGGTAATAGGAAAGATGAGAAGGATAACAGTAACAATGCAGCCCTACTACGTGTATGTAGTATGTAGGATATATGTATATATGTAGGATGAGGGGATGTTTCAGGCTTAGAAGAAGCAAAACCTCAAGAGAAAAGGTTTTAGGGAACAGCCTGGGAATAAAAGGGGAGAAAGAGGAGCAGAGGGAAAACTCTTGGAGAGGGGAGCAAAGTCACCCCCCCCCCAGGAGATGTACCCCTGCTCAAAGGGTTTAATGCCGTTGTTGATCTTTGATGCTGCCCTGGCTCTTTCCTCCCATCCTTTGCTGGGGAGGTGGCCTGGGCATCTGGGGGACCCAGCCTGGCTCGTGGGCCTGTCATTTGCCCACTGAGACCCAGATGTGGCAGGGGAAGAAGCACACGTGGTTCCCGAAAGCCGGCCTCCTGTTCTCCCCGAAAGAAGTTTGGTGGAGTTTGCCAGGCGCAGGTTTTAGGTCCCAATAAGCCCTCGGAAGGTAGGAAGTTTCAGGTTCTCCTCACGGGCAGGGGGCCCGATGCTTGCAGCATGGCTGGTTCAGGAATTCTGTGGAGTTGAAGTCCACGAGTCATAAAAGAGCCAAGGTTGCCTACCCCTGTCTTAGGAAGACATTTCTCCCAATCTTCCATGGTGTAAATAGTGTGTTTCCTCCATAGTTTTAATCTAGTAGTTTCAAATATTACTCAACAGGTAAATGGTTTTGTCCTCTTTAATGGGATTGTGACATTGCTGGAAGGTGCTCAGGTTTCTAACGTGACTTGACTGGGTGCTAAAGACCCAGTTTTGAGATCCCCGTGCAAATGAAGTGACCGGGGATGGACAGCCGCTCCAGTCAAAAATCATATAAGATTCATATATGGTTAGAAAAGATGATTAAAATGCAGATAGAATTTAAATCTGAACTGTTTCTACTAGGAATACTAGGATCTAATTATGGAAAAGAGAATGAATACTTAATATTACATGTATTAACAGTTGCGAGAATAGTATTTGGCTTTGCCCAATTTTGGAAAAATGAAAAGCTACCATCCGACCAGATTATTATTACAAAAATATTGGAATGTGCAGAAATGGATAGACTTACGACCGGTTGGGTAGTTACGACCGGTTTAGTCCTCGACTTACGACCGGTTTAGTCCTCGACTTACGACCGGTTGGGGTCGCGGCATTAAAAAGGTTGAGAACCACTGCAATCAGGCCTCAGAAGCTAGGAAGGCGCCGGAGGAGGGAAGGGAGGGAGCCAGGCGCCTCCGCCCACCCCGGAGCAGCTTCAGGTCCTCTTCTCGGGCAGGGGCCCCGATGCTTGCAGCATGGCTGGGAGTCAGTGGGAGACGCGCCAGGGCCCCGTCGGGTGCCTCTGCTCTCCCGGGTCTGCGCAGGATCCGTCCGGCTCCTGAAGAGAGCGGCTGCCAAGGCAACCGGGTGGCCTGGCAGGAGGCTATTAGCGCATCACCCGGGCTCTGCCGTGAACGACTCGCACCTACTCCTTCGAGCAGGGTATTTCCTTGAGTTGCCGTGGCAACCTGGGCCCCAGCTGCATGTTTTCAGGGATGGTGGGCATTCATCTCATCAGAGTAAATTTAGAATGAAAGGTTTTAATCTTCAGCTGGGGAGTTGTTATTTACAGGCGAAGGCCTGTGTTGCTTCCAAGGAGATTATTATTAAGCCAGAGAGCAGCCCAGATGCCTGGGAGGAGGGGCAGGCCTGTGGGGAGAGGGCGGGAAGAGGTATGTATGTATGTATGTATGTATGTATGTATGTACGTATGTATGTATGAGGCATGTATCTATGGAGGGAGCAGAGGAGCAGCCAACTCACCAGACAGAGAATGGGATTGTGATGGGAGGGGGGGGCTCTAAAGCAAAGATACTGGCTTATTCTTCCCAGCTGTAGCCGAAGCCGAAGTGGACGAACAGCCTCAGAGTTCCCTACGGACCGGCCCAGGGCGTCGGAAGAGTCTGCGTGGCCATAGCCCCAAGGACAGTGAAGCCCGGGGTAGGTTGTGGGGCTGCGCCAGTGGTGATCTTGGGCTTCTTTCCCCACCTTTGTCCAGCAACTTCCCCTGTTTGCTCCCCGCTTTCTAGAGGTAGGGGAGGGTGGCCATATCCCTTCTCTGTAGATAGAGGTTTTGGGGAACATTGATCAGACGCAGTGACCCCACAACCACCGTCTGCTGGCTCACGTGCCTTGCAACGACCGAAGCCTTGACCGCGTCCCCCTCCTCTACAAATGTTGAGATGGCACGGATTGTACTTACTATGTCTCGAGGGGCTTAACAGGTGCCTGCCCCTCGTCTTTGGGGAGAACATCTGGAACTTTCACTCGGCCACCTGGACTTTCTCACGCACCGCCCTCCCCCTTTCCCTCCCTTAATCCGAGCAGTCAGAGGATTACCCAGGAGGGGCTCTGGAGTTGCCTTAATCAGTGGGGGGTTAGGCAAGACAATCACAGAGATTCCAATCGAATTCCGATTTGATCATTCCCGCTTGCCTGGCCTTGGCTCTCTCCAGCTGGTTGTCTTCCGACCGACTCTCTAAGCCAAGTGACACATTGCAAATAACTCTGCCGTGGCCCCTGGTCCCTCTTTTGCTTCCTCCTCTGGATCAGAACGGGCCTGTGCTCTGCTCCACCCCCTGAACTGCTTATTACAGGTAAGTCCTCAACTTACAACAGGCCGCTGAGGGACTGTTCAAAGTTACAACCGCACTGGAAAAAGTGACTGATGACCATTTGTCACACTTAAGGACCGTTGCAGCCTCCTCGTGGTCACCTGATCCAAATTCAGGCACTTGGCAGACCCTGACTCGTGTTTATGGCGGTCGCAGTGTCCCAGGATCACGTGATCCCCTTTTGTGACCTTCTGACCCCAAAGTCAGTGGGGAAGGCAGACTCACTTCACAACTATGTTACTAACTTAACAACTGCAGTGGTTCACTTAATGGTGGCAAGGAAGGTCGTAAAATGGAGCAAAACTCACTGACCAAATGTCTCACTTAGCATCATAAACTTTGGGCTCGGGTATGGCCATAAGTGCAGGACTACCTGAATTATTTTTCTTCATTATTTACTAAAGGTGGAGGCAGCTTCCTAGACCCGTGGAAGCCCTCAACTTCAGCTGCGCCCAAATATCCTTTGTAAAGAATTACCTGCCCCCCTGCCCCAAGAGCAAACTCAGTTACAAATCCAAACATTGCCAATAAAAACCCCCAATAATAATAATAATAATAATAATAGTAATAGTAGTAGTAGTAGTAGTAGTAGTAGTAGTAGTAGTAGTAGTAGTAGTAGTAGTAGTAATAAGAAATTTGGAAGGGACCTTGGAGGTCATCTAGTCCAACCCCCTGCTCAGGCAGGAAACCCTACACCAGTGGTTCTCAAACTTTTTAATGCCGCGACCCCAACCGGTCGTAAGTTGAGGACTAAACCGGTCGTAAGTCGAGGACTACCCAACCAGTCGTAAGTCGAGGACTAAACTGGTCGTAAGTCGAGGACTACCCAACCAGTCGTAAGTCGAGGACTTTCCCTGCCTGGGAGCGCTGCGCATGCGTGGTTCCGCCCCCTGTGCCGGCCGAGGCGTAGCTGGCAAGCGGCAGAGACGGAGCAGGCCGACCACCAGCTGGCCCAGCTCAAGGGAGGTAAGGCACCCACCGGAAAAGGGTAAAAAAATGGCAGACAAAAAAAATGGCGGACAGCCTTGCTTGGCGACCCCCGTGAAATGGTCGATCGACCCCAAATGGGGTCCCGACCCACAGGTTGAGAACCACTGCCCTATACCATTTCAGACAAATG